AATTTTGCAAAAAGAAAAAAAAATCACAAACAGTTTCATCCGATTTTAATGTGACTTCTAAACAAAGAGACCTCTCATCCGATTTTAATGTGACTTCTAAACAAAGAGACCACTGCACACTCTACACATAGTGGGAATGTTGTTATCCTGGGGATTGTGCAAGAGCGCACATCTCTCTGACTGGTGATCCTAGTTTTGAATAGCAGGTTGTGGAAGGCAAACCTGGTTAGAAGAAAAAAGCGGGCAGAGGTAGAACTAACACCAAATTTAATTTAGATTTAAACCTAGCCAGTTAAAGACGAGCTATTTTATTCTATAGGTATTTAATCACGTTCTGCTTTCTGTCATATGAGAAATTGCAGCAAAGTCCTGGGGCACCTTAAAACATATTTATTATTGCATACATGTAGTCCTCAACTTATGACCTTAATTGGGCCCGGCAATGACAGTCATAAGTCGTGATGGTCATAAAGATAAGATAACCTTTATTGTCATTTTTTTTTACTGTGGGCACAACGGCACACATCCAAAATGAAATTTAGTTGCCCGCTCTCAAAGTGAAAAACATACATGACACACACCTAAACATACTATGAACAACATATGTATAGACCCACATCCCTACATATACGTAGCAAATAAATATTAAATACTGTCCATCTTGAATGTATAACGGAAGGATAATAAAGTGGGTCATCAAACATCGGTTTCTGTAAAAAAAAATAATCTTAACTTGTGCTCACATGACTGGGGATGCTACAAACAACCATAAATGCCAGCCAGTTGCCAAACACCCAAAATGCAGTTGTGGATTGCGGTTGGGGATGATGTCACAACTTCAGAACCAAAAGGTCGTAAGTACCTTTGGCGGGGAGAGGTCTATCGTAACTTTGAATGGTTGCTAAGCAACTGGTTGTAAGTCGAGGACTACCTGTATTACAATTGAATGACAGCTTTAGGAACTGTGTGGAGCTGCTCTGTTTTTCACCACAAGATCAGGCATTAAAACAGAGACTGATAACAAGGATCCTACTGTCCGGTGAATCCAAAAAAGACTTATTATATATCTACACTAAAATTAATTTTGATTACATTAAGTAGTTATTTTGGATGCCTTCCATATGTTTCTAAAGAAATGTTATTCCAGAGGGAGAAGGATCATGAATAGTTCCCTCATTCCCAGAATTAAAAATGATATTATGGTACAGCCTATGTGGCTTTCTCTGTGCGAATGTCATATAGGGTCTCGTACTTGAACAGGGGGTTGGACTAGAAGACCTCCAAGGTCCCTTCCAACTCCCATATTCTGTTCTTCTCGTGGCCACCTATTGCAGGCAAATCTAAAAGACGTGTAGGCCTAGGGAAGATTTTATTTTGAACAATGCTCCCATTAAATTTGCCTCCTGGAAAATACGGTTCGGTATTTTATATGACACAGTCCATATAACCAGATGGGCCCGTCCTTTTCATTCAAGGCAATAAAAATGAATCAGTTGAAATATCATCTCAAAAGTTCCTTCGGGGGAGTTAAGGCTCCCCCCCCACGCTCCTGTTGACTGGTCATTGACTTCATGGGATGAATATAAACGACGGCAAATGTCCGCTGATATCGAATGCCATGAAAAAGATACAGGTAGTCCTTGACTTAACAACCACAAATGAAACTAGAATTTCTGTCGCTAAGCGAGACGGGGGTTAAGTGAATTCTGCCCCATTTTAGGACTGTTCTTGCCACCGTAATTAATTGAGTCACTGCAGTTGTTAAGTTGTAACACGGTTGTTAAGTGAATCTGGCTTCCCCATTAACCTGGCTTGTCGGAAGGTAGCAAAAGGGGATCACATGACCCCCAGGACGCTGCAACCGTCATAAATACAAGCCAGTTGCCAAGCGTCTAAATTTTGATCATGTGACCATGGGGATGCTGCAGTGGTCGTAAGGGTGAAAAACGGCCAATGGGTCTTTTCAGTGCCATTGTAACTTTGAACGGTCATTAACCAAACTGTTGTAAGTCGAGGAGTACCTGTATACATGTGTGGGCACTCCAAGGAATGTTTCAGGAATATTCTGCCTCATGGAATCTTAAAAAAGAAAACAAAAATGGTTGCTTTTCACTGTGCATGCTCACCATCCAAATCTAAATAAAACAAACCAATAAACACAGAAGTTTATGGAGATGTAAGGGCAGCTGAACTTAATTCCAGGTAAAATGTTATATAACTGTGCAACCTGGGAATCCTACTTTACACACAGAAAGACACAGACACACATACACAGAGAAAGAGAGACGGGACGAGAAGGTTAGAAAGGAAAAGAGAAAAAGGGAAAAGAGAGAGGGAGAGAGAGAGAGGAAAAGAGACAGAGAGGAAGAAAGAGAGAGAGGGGAAGAGAGGAAAAGAAAAGGGAAGAGAGGGAGAGAGAGAGGAAGAAAGGGAGAGGGGAAGAGAGGAAGGGAAGGGAAAAGAGAAAGCGAGAGGAAAAAAGGAGAAGAGGAAGAGAGGGAGAGAGAGAAATGGAGAGACAGGGATAGAGAGAGGATGAGAGAGAGAGAGGAAGAAAGGGGAAGAGAAGAAGAGAATGGGGAAGAGAGAAAGAGGAAGAGAAAGGGGGAGAGAGAAGGAAAGCAAGTGAGAGAGAGAGAGAGAGCATTTTAATAATGCAGCTTCTACCTTTCCTAATCACGAACTGCAGGTGAAAAAAATAATGTCCATCCATGTGCTCAGTGAATTATTTATTTCTCCTGCCCCCATTCCTGAAAGAACCTGTGAAAGAACCAGTTAAATTTAGAAGAATTTAAGCTGAGCTCTGGTTGAGCTTTCACCCCTGAACGAATGTTCCCATATTCCGTTTTATTCTTGTTTGTGTATAGCGATTGATAATACAATATATACAATCACAGTTTAGCCAAACCTAAGCCCATTTTGAGTCCAGTAAATTATAGCAATTGAGAAATGGTTTCACTATTTAATATAAACGTGCATCAAACTAAGGACAACATCTATCTAATGTGTGAAGGACTGCATTGATAAGCTGAAGTACAGTTTTTTTTTAAAAAAAAAAATTAGGGATGAAGATGTTTGGATCATCCAGTTCACTTCAGTCTATCAATCTATTTATATCTTCGGGCTTTGCTTAATGCTACTAGCCAGCCACCATTTGCTAAGTCCTATCTACTGAAGGTTTTCTCAGTATAACACATTTTAAGATGGGGGCCAAATTCCAGAATTGTACCCAGATTTAAATTTGCTGAGTATCAACTCCCTTCAGCAAATACTCAATCATCCAGGTCACGGTTGTCCCAAAGATGCTTTTCAAAAAGCAACTGGACTTTCTTGGGTTTTTTTTCCCTTGACAATATTTTGCTTCTCATCCAGAAGCTTCTTGTATGAGAAGCAAAACATTTTCAAGGGGGAAAAAACAAGGAAATCAGTTGCCTTCTGAAAAGCACTTTTGGAACTCCCTTCAGCAGCAAATTCTCTGTAATATATATGCTACCAATTAGGTAATAAAGTTTGACTTGCTTCTGTTCATCCTGGCTGAAAAAATTGGTGAAGGAATATAATTAAATAATGTATCTGGCAGTGGGATTCAGTAGTGGTCGAGGGAAGGTGACGTCATTCCTTGTGGTCATAGACTCACTTCTTTTTCTTTTATGATGATGCTTTTTTTAATTTGGTATATGAAACTCACTACATTGTGATATTCACTCCCAAGTGATGTCCATCGGAACTTCAGGCATGAAAGATAAAGGCTACAAGTTAATTGGAATCAAACTGATTCATTGCTCATCCCTATGCACAGGAATCTAGTCAACTAACGGTTAGCACTATTTTGGCGCGAGATAATGGTTAACGGAATTCAAGAGGGGTTGGACAAACGTTTGTGACTATGTAGACACTCCTAGACTGATTCCTCTTTTGACTCCACCTGCAGATTCTGTTACTCCTCCTACAGGAACACATACTATATCTAGATAGTTGTTCTTTTTGGCTGAAATATAATTTACACTGAGATAAAGAAGAGGAACTGGATCCAAAGATGGTGTAGGAAGTTAAATTTGCTTTCCTCGGGACCCTGAAATATTCTCCCCTTCCCCCCAAACATTCACAGGGGATTCAGTGGAGACAGTGGCCCTGTTGTGTCCATAATACACTTTGCGCTATATTAGTAATCTTACAAAGAGTTACAATGCCTTAATGCCTTGCTACCCATCTTCAAAAGCTGGTTTTCAGTTAATTCTGTTTTACTTAACATTAAAAGGGCAAAATGTCCTACTATGGCTTGGTAATGTTCCCCATCGATTTCAATATAACGTATTTCTGAGTAAGTAGCTGTACAAATTGCAAGGGTAATAAATGTGTAAAGAATAGTTTGATAACACATTTTCCCCCAAAGAATTAAATGCAGCTAATTTTGTATAATTTTTATATGCCGTTGTCTTGAGGAAGAATTTCATAGTTTAAAAAGTGTCAAGAAAGAAGAAAATGGTTTTCCAAAGCACCTTTTGGAGTTGATTTTTTTCCCCATGTTTCATGATATTGCTGGATAAGCCCTTCTTTCCTATGTCCCATGGATGCTGCCAGAAAATAAATATGTTTATTTTATTTTCCACCTCTACCAATGTAATCCTTACAGCTTCTGCTTTGCACACTGGCTTGAATGACAGTTCTGATTATTATTTTTTTAAAAAAATATTGATTTATTCATTTTAATGATGGCTTCCACTAACCAATCTTTAACTAACTGTGGTTGTTTAATTACAGAGGGAACATTCCCACGCTCAACAGGTACAGTAATTCTCCTTTTTAGCTCTTTTAAAAAGTAGCTAGTTGTCAGAAGAATGTGTAGTTTTAACACAATTTTTTTAAAAAAGGGGTCTTAACAACCTAACTTTTTTATTTCGTTTTTTGGGGAATCTGGCTCCCACTCAAAGCTATACCAATCTCTAATCCTTATTTTCAGCGTTTTGTTTTTATGTTTTCCTCTGTTCCTCTTTGAATGTTTCTGTGTTTGTTCTTCTCTTTACCCTTTCTTTTGGCATGCTATAAAAATGACTTCACCAGCGCTCAAGACTTGTCTTACCTGCCTTAAAAACTTGTTCCAGATCTTGAAACAAAAACTGGTCGGTTTCTTTCCCTCTTTTCTTTTCCCTTGGGTAGCAAAGATGGAGCCCAGCTGGCCAACCCACCAATTGGGATTTAAAACAGAGTTGGTATTCCAAGTGGTTTTCAAAAATATATATATATACAGATAGACCTTGACTTACGATCACAGTTGTGCCCCAAATTTTGGTTGCTAAATGAGACAATTGTCAAGTTGAGTTTTGCCCTATCTTACAACCTTCCTGGTCACAATTGTTAAGTGATCACTGCAGTTGTTAAGTTAATATTACGGTTGTTTAGTGAATGCGGCTTCCCCGTGTCAGAAGGTTGCAAAAGGGGATCACGTGACCCTGGGAATGCTGCAGCTGTCATAAAATATGAATCAATGGCCAAGCGTCCAAATTTTGATCACGTGACCATCGGGATGCTTGCAAGTGGAAAATGGTCACAAGTCACATTTTCAGCGCTGTTGTAACTTTGAACGGTCACTAAACAAACTGTTGTGAGTCGAGGACTACCTGCACATTGGAAAAAAATAACCATTCTCCAGATGTTCTGGACGTTGACCCATATCCCAAATTTGTGAATGTCAAATTTCCCAGCTGGGGAAGGTTCTGAACGCAGGATCCTTAACCTTTTCATTTCCCTATATCTTAAATCTTTTTTTTATATATATAGGAAAGAGATTAGCAAAATATCCTTGTCAGTGTTTGCTCACCTCTGAGTAGAAGGGATGTTGTGTCTTCGCTCACCTGGCCTTCCCTGAGAAAGTGTCCATTAGCTTCTCTCAGACAAAGGCCAAGTCCCGTTTTCAAAAATGCCCAGGGGGAGAGAGTTTTTGAATTAAAACACTGGGAGGTGGGAGGGCGGGGAACCCTTTGCTTGGGGCTTAATTACCCAGTTCCTAAAGAAATAAAAATTATCTTATTGGATCGCGACCAAGAATTGGCAGAGTGGGTTTTGAAGACTAGCACTCACCCTTTTACAGCAGGGGAAGCAAACAGAAGACGCCTCCATCTTAACCACTGTCAAGAAAGACCCTAGAGCAGGGTTTTTAAAATCCTTTTGGGCTACAGATCCATTTGAAAGTCTGGTGAAACCTACGAAAAACCTAAATATTAATTGAATATTACATGAAATAAAATGTGGATCATACTCCAAAGTCAATGGCTCAGATTCGGCTGTCAAAAATATTTTAAAAAGAGAACTTGTGAGCCGGCCTGAGTCACCTTGTCAGGGAGATGGGCGGCATAAAAATTTAATTAATAAAAATAAACAACCTCAAATTACTTTAGACAGGGAGATTTATTGAAGATAACAAACCTTTTTGGAGAGTAAAAGTCACGCCATATTTAGCTGCCTACATGGGTTGCTGACTGAAAAACTAAATTTAATGAAAATATAGTTGTAATGTTTTTCTCAGCCAAGTTCAGAAGGCTCCTAAACTCTTATCTATAGACATCAAAGAGATCTGTGGAATTAAGAATTAATTAAGAACCCTGTTCTAGACCATCATGTGTGAAAATGATTTTGGGATGGGGACGGCCCAGTCAATGGCTTCTAGTGGTAGCTTTGTTTTTCCCGCTTGTTAAATCTTCCACCTGTATCTCCAGTTGGTTGAGGGGTGGTTTATCGTCTCCAGTTTGAATGCCTTGGCACAGATAATTTTCCGCTGCCATAAATTAACTTTTTTTTTTTAAAAAAAATGCCAACGATTCGGCTGTTCAGGGCGGAGGGTGGGTGGAAAGTGCTTGGCTGAGAACTAATTATTATATAGTCATTTGTCAGGAAAGATGTACAGCCTCTCACTTGAAAGAGAATGGATTTGCTTAGCCGTCTTCCAGAACTGTGTTTTCTTTCCCCCGTGTTGTTTCTTTCCTTTAAATGCAATTTTGCAAATATGGCTAAAGGCAAATTGGAGGGGGTGGGATAGAGATAAGCGGGAACTCAGTGGCTCATTCTATATTCTGGCCTGTTTCTCACTAAAGTAGTAATCACTGCACCATTTGAGGCAGGAGATAGAAGACTTGACATGACAGAATTTCTTTCCGTGTCAGAAGGAAATATGCCACATTTCACAAGTTAGCATGCCCTGGACAAGTCTATTTTTTTCCCTTAACCACCCAACAGGTTAGATTTTCACAGGTAGGGATTTTTTTTTTATCCACACAACAAAGCATTCAGTCGTTGCAGTTTCCTCCCTGGTAGAGAAGTGATGGCTTTTTTGTAGAGGTATTTGAAACTTTGGACCACAATCTTCTGCTTTGTATTTTGTGAGGAACTCATCCTGTAACATCAATTGATGTCACGATTGAAGGACCCAGGGGAAGGTTCTGGGTTCACATATGTACATGCACACAACCACTTTGCTGTCTGGCAATTTACTTGCCATTGACCAGGGGTCTCCAAACTTGGCAACTTTAGACTTGGTGGACTCCAAGAATTCTGGGAGTTGAAGTCCACAAGTCTTAAAAGTTGTCAAGTTTGGAGACCCGTGCCACAACAAGAGATAAACAAGGGTTAGGCTGCTGTTGTGTTAGGTCATATTTATCACACGTTGCTGACCAAGGACTGTTGTGTGGAATACTTTCTTCTGAATCAAAATGTTCACCAGATATTGTGAAAGATCTCTAGTGGTACAGGATATCAATTAGTATCTGCAATGCCACACTGTTGAATCAACCATTTCAGCTGGTCATGATGTAGGAGAGAGATGAGGAAAGGGGTAGATGTAAGTCAAGGTGAGCCATCAGTTGGATTCCAGATGTTGACTCATGAGTACTTCCATGATGACCAACAGTACAGTCATCTAGCAATTGTTTCTCAGTACCAGGAAGTTGCTCTCCATTGGAGAAGTAATGGGATCATCCAAAACCCATGGTTGAAGAAGAAATATGCTATGTAGGGGTGTCCATGGGGATGATAAAAAAATTCAAGATGGCGGTGCAATGCACAATTCAAACCCCGCCTCTTTTAATGTGCATTCCTTGTTTAAAAGGGGTGGGGCTTAGACTGACCGCCATCTTGTCCCCTTTGACCAACTCTCCAAATGTCCCGGGAATATAAGAAGCTATTTTATTCCAGGCTAGACTCCCCATTTATAATATTTGTATCCTTAGGAGCCCCACAGTCACTCCTAGGTTGTGATGCCCCAACAAAATGGCTACCAAATGAACACACAGGGTTATACACGCATACAACCAAATTTAACACTAATCAAATTCAGCATGGTTGTGTGACTGCTATTCTTCTGAACTGGTCAGGTGTGTTGCATAAACACAGCCTCTAGATCAGGGGTCTTCAAACTTGGCCCTTTTATGACTTGTGGACTTCAACTCCCAGAATTCCTCAGCTAGCATGCCTGACTGAGGAATTCTGGGAGTTGAAGTCCACAAGTCATAAAAGGGCCAAGTTTGAAGACCCCTGCTCTAGATGGCTTTTAGATAGATGCTCACAATAACATCTCACACACCTGTTTTAACACCATCTCTTGCCAATTCACAACGTGGGTAAGATTATTGCCTACAGGTAGTCCTCAACTAACAACCCCACATTTCTGTCACCAAGCAAGGCAGTTGTTAAGTGAGTTGCGCCCCACTTTATGAGCTTTTTTGCCACGGTGTTAAGCGAATCACTGCAGTCGTTAAGTGAATCGTGCAGTCGTTAAACAAATCTGACTTCCTCCAATAACTTCACTTGTCGGAAGCCATCTGAGAAAGTCAGAAATGGTGATCAAATGACCCCGGGACACTGCAACGGTCATAAATACATGCCAGTTGCCCAGCAACTGAATTTTGATCACATGACCCTGGAGATGCTGCAATGGTAAGTGTGAAAAACGGTCATGTCGCTTTTTTCAGTGCTGTTGTAACTTCAAACAGTCACTAAATGAATGGTTGTAACTCGAGGACTACCTGTATTTCAGAAAAGCATAACTTAGAACATTTCTGAGCCTGGTCTGTTGATGCTAATATATGGGCATTGAAATCCAGCATAAAGGTTATGTCCAGCTGGCACAGTGGACAATACCATTCTTAGGGATTTCTAAACATATTTCATCATGTTGTTGTGTATTTGTGTTGATGTACATCCATGGCCTTTGTTCAAAGAAAATATACGACGTCTTCAGAAACTAAAGTAGCTCCCTTTGTGTACATGGGCGTTTGTGTATATGTGTGTTCTTAATTTGCAAATGCTAATTAATACTATCTGTTTATCATCTGCTTCTGTCTGCCAGGGCAATGTATAGCCTCATTGTTGAAAACGTAAAGAGTTTGGGAATAGTCAAGATATAAATTATTCCGCAATATATGTGGGGTTTTTAAAAAAAAAAAAAAATAGTGGAACAGGAGAGAAGAATGCCCCCCGCCTGATCTTTTTTTAGACTATGCTATTTTTATTTTAATTATTTATTCGTCAAACAAAAATTACAAAATTCGAACGAACAAAGTGAAAAAAACCCAAAATGTGACAGGGATGGCAGGCACGTTAATGCATTTATGCACGCCCCCTTAAATATGGGATGAGGTCCACAGAAATTAAGTTGGCATTAAAACTATGAAAGTTAGCAGCTGAAACAACTGAATTGGGTAAGATACTCCAGACTTCAACAACTCTATAATTCTGGATGAAATTCTCTACCAGCTGTAGTCAAAAATCAGGGTCCTGATGCTGTTGGAGTCACAAAGCGTGAGGTCGAATTACAAAATCAAGATAGCCTTTAGTGAAAATTTCACTTCTGCCTTCTATTGATCAAATTATTTCAACAAATTCCACCAGTTATGGGTTTTGTTTTGTTTTTTTGTTTTCACGCAGCCTCAGTACTTCCATCTGCAGAATGGGTTTAGGATAATCTACCTCGCTAGAAATGTTACAAGTCTGCGATGCAGATAAAGTGCTTGAAAGCCCTTTTCAGATGCCAAGGGGCTAATGGAAGCGGGGATTCTTGCTCAGAGTAATCCCGCTGACAAGAGTTCTCTGGAAAGCCACGAATCTTAGATTAGCTCGCAACCAATTTTGCTCTCTTTTAATTTCAGCAGGTAATAACTATTTGAGAAAAGCAGACTTAAGAATCTGCAGGGCTGCAGACTGAAAATCCAGCCTCATGGAATTAAAATTATTATTAAATTCCTGACCTTTTAAAGACTGGCTCAGATAAAAAAAAATTTAAAAGGTAGAAGTGGTAGAAATAAATAAATAATTGCTAGTCACGTGGACAAAATCCAGCTCAATACATTCCAACAAACAAATGTGAATGCTTTTACATATCTAAAACTCAAGAGATCAAACTCTGAAGCCCCCATCTATTCACTAGGATCATTACTTTTAAACGCCACAATATATGTGAGGCATTACCATAAAAAGGAAAATAAAGGCAACAGCCTCTCTCCCCATCCCAAAATTTGGGTAGTCTAAAGTATTTCCTTGTGGTTTGAAAATCCTGGTGAAAATTTCAAATCCTAGAATGGTAGTTATAACAGAGACCTTAGAAGACTTAATCTAACATCTTATCCAGGACTCAGTTTCTATGGCTGTCCATCTCACATTCCTGACTTGCAACAATTAAAAAAAAAACAGCATCAGAAACAAAATTACAGATTCATAATAGCAGGCAAACATATTAACTATGATTAAAACCACCATGAAATTAATAGCTCTCATAGTAAGGAAATTCCTCCTTCTTTAGAGTTGGGATCTCCTATGCAAGGCTCCCACCATGCTATATATAGATAATACATTCAAACCTTCCCTACAACAGCCTTGCAAAGTATTGGAAGGATTTCCTCATAAAATATGAGTCTTTGCATACAACATTAAAGTTCATGATTTCCGTTGTTGCTGCTCAACTGTTTTACTGGCCAAGCTCAATCCCTGTAATTTTTGTTTTTACCTGAACATATATTTTTTTAAAAAGAAAAGATGAAAAAAAAACCCTGAGGTAGAAGCTCAATTGATAGTAATCTGTACTAGTAGTCGCCTTGCTAGTTTTGATGGGGATGTGGTTTCCTCCTTGGGGTGGAAACTACACCAAAGAGGAAACTAAACCCCCCACCAAAACTGTCAGGGCAAACTATTGCATACAGTTAAAAACAGACAGCAAACCCCACACTCCCTCATCCTGATGATGTTACCTAGTTGGGTAATGAGATGTCTTCAAGCTGCCACCAAGGAGTTGCAAGCTCTGAGTCACCAAGCTCAGAGACCATCAAGAGTTCTGTGTTTCCACCACATTGGAGTCTTTTTCCTTACCATGAAGGAATAGTTCTTTATATAATACATCCATGGGCTTTTGATATGTCCATGGTTGGGGGGTGGTGGTTTGTGTTTGTGTAAAAATTGGCAAACTGCTTGTTGTGGTCCCCAAACTCTGTGAAGCAGCCTTGTCTATTAGCCAAGCCACTTGTACCAGCTGTAGGGAGGGATTAAAATGCTCTGTCCATCCTGCAAGCCATTGCAGTGGCTTGTAGGCGTAGCCAAAGTAACATATTAAGAGCCTTGATAACAACAATACAGGCATTGGCATTCTTTTCCTGATCTTTTTTTTGGTGTTTGCTCAGGATCTTAAGGGGCAAAGCCACAATGCATTGTTCTAGTTCACAGAAATCCTTCTCGCTTTTAAAAATGGAAAAGTTATAACAAGTATAAAACCAATATTCTCACTCCTCTTTTGATCTGCTTTGATGTTTCGGTGACCACTGAAGCTCCTTTGAAACTCATTTTCACTTCTACTGAAGCTGTTTAAAAAACCTGGTTAGCAGGTTCCTCAACTGACTATCCAGATTTTTTTCCCTTCAACAATTTTGGAGGTTACTGAGTAGCACATTAGTGCTATTCTGTTGCCGCTATTATTTTAACTGTGGCCTCTTGGTTTTGTAGTACAGCTAACCGTTCCCCAATTGGTGGAACAATTCGCCACTTCTTGTTTTGAATTCAGCCCTGTCAAGAGTTGAGGAAGAGGGTGGGATGAGGGCAGGGTCTGAACGTACCTAAGAGTAAATCTTGGAAACCTGCGATCTGCGAATTTAATTTTGAACAACCATTCAGATGGTTTCTTTAGGAAAGTTAGAGCCAACATCATGGTAAGCTTAAATCCACTCCTATCCTAGTTTTGTGTGCTTGTTTCTTCGAACTTCTGTATGCCAAACCAAGTGAAGTTTTCTCCTTTATTTTACTGACACACACCCTTCCCCCCCCCTCCCAAAAAAGAGAGAGTCTCTAACTCAGTGTTTCTCAACCTTGACAATTTTAAGGCATGTGGACTTCAACTCCCAGAATTCCACAGCCAGCAATGCTGGCTGTGGAATTCTGGGAGTTGAAGTCCACATGCCTTAAAATTGTCAAGGTTGAGAAACACTGTTCTAACTAGTTTTATCAGCTCTTTTGTTTCTCCTGACCTTCTTTTTGAGCCCTGTCTGTCCTCTGCTGGTCTCCTAATACGTCCTGTGATTTGAACCTGCTGTTTAGAATGTCCTTCTCGTCTAACCTTAACCATTACGGGATGGTCCACGTGGCCAGCGTGAGCGACGTTCTCCTGGACAATTCTTTCACCCCACCCTGCCAGCGCATGGGAGGCATGGTTTCCTTCCGAACCTTTGAAGACTTCGTCCGGTAAGCAATGGAGGAGTAGCCAGAGCTGGGACAGGATGGCTTGTTTTCCATCACTTCTGCTTTCAGCTTCTTCTGTCTGAAGTCTTGTCCTGCTGCAGTGTACAGGTTGAGCTAGGTATCAGAAAGGGTCATTTGAAGGCAGGATTGGAAGGGTAGGAGGACAAAATAGCATAAGGGTGAAGGGATCTGGGGCAAGGCTCTGTTGAACATATTATGAAGGAGATGTTGGTTTAACTATGAATATCTATGGAGGTTCTCAGTCATCCAAGTCACGGTTGTCCCATAGGTGCTTTTTCAGAAGCAGCTAGATCAGTGGTTCTCAACCTGTGGGTCGGGACCCCATTTGGGGTCGATCGACCATTTCACGGGGGTCGCCAAGCAAGGCTGTCCGCCATTTTTTTTGCCCGCCATTTTTTCCCCTTTTCCGGCGGGTGCCTTACCTCCCTTGGGCTGGGCCAGCTGGTGGTCGGCCTGCTCCGTCTCTGCCGCTTGCCAGCTACGCCTCGGCCGGCGCAGGGGCCGGAACCACGCATGCGCGGCGCTCCCGGGCAGGGAAAGTCCTCGACTTACAACCAGTTGGGTAGTCCTCGACTTACGACCGGTTTAGTCCTCGACTTATGACCGGTTTAGTCCTCGACTTACGACCGGTTGGGGTCGCGGCATTAAAAAGGTTGAGAACCACTGAGCTAGATTTTCTTGGTTTTTCCTTGAAGACGTTTTGCTTCTCATCCGGTTCCAGAAGAACTGAAGAAGCGTCTTGGATGAGAAATGAAACGTCTTCAAGTAAAAAACGAAGAAAGTCCAGTTTTTGGAAAAGCACCTTTAGGTTGAGCTTTGAAGTTGTCTGCTTTGTCTGGGTAAGGGAAGGCACTGGCCTGTGCAGTTTGTCGTCATATAGTTCACTGTTTCTCAACCTTGGAGACGTTAAGATGTGTGGACTTCAACTCCCAGAATTCTCCAGTCAGCAATGCTGGCTGAGGACCTCTGGGAGTTGAAGTCCTTCTGAAAGCCACCAAGATTGAGAAACACTTGTAACGGCAAGCAATTTTGTCCCATCCTCTTCTCCCTTCCTACTTGTTACACCTTTTGATGTTGTGCTTTGCCTTCAGAAATATTGCAGGATATTGTGGGCCAGAGAAACCAGAAGAGGACGGGTGGGACAAGTTTGAGGCAATGAAAATTGAACGCTGGGAATATCTTAAAATGTTGGATTGCTATTGGATGTTTTGATGATGGTTGATCTTTTGCTTGTGTCCTGCTTCAGACTTTTTGATGAGATTATGGGATGCTTTTGCGACTCTCCACCTCCGAGTCCCACCTTTCCAGAATCGGGGCACCCGTCCCTGTATGATGAAGATAAGGTACAGTAGTCTATCCTGATTGGGTTTGACAGTAGAGGCAGCTTCTTGAGTTGAGTGGACGGGGATGAGTTAAAAGAGGTGTGGAGAAAAAGGTGTGTGCAAGCAGATGGATGCACTTCATTAAAGCAGCTGTATCTTTTCTGGGTTTGCGCAACATATTTGAGTACCAGTAGAAGGTAATACTTGTAGCTCAGGGTTGAAATGCGGGGTCTTTGATGCTCTCTGAGCTTGGTTGGGTGCTTTCTTGCAGACGTTTTATTACTCTTGCACTGATGATGTTATCTAGTTGGGTAGTGAAATGCTGCAAGAAAACAACCAACCAAGCTCAGAGAGCATCAAGGACCCCACATTTCAACCCTGAGCTATAAATATTCTCTTCTGTTGGTAGCATACATGGGCATCCAATGCTTCAGAAAGCATGCAAATGAGAGAATTTTGCATGTAGGCAAATCTCAACCTAGCACTGATGATGTTACTTAGTTAGGTAACGAAACGTCTGCAAGAAAACAACCAAGCTCAGAGACCACCAGAGACTCCAGATTTGCATACTTTTTTGCCTTTGAATCTGGAGGAACGCACTGCCCTAATCCATAGTATTCCTTGTTTCTGAGGATGGTAGAATCTTATGTGTTCCAGATCCATGAGAAACGGAGTCACCAAGATGTCATGCAAAATTACACGAGGCCTATTCTTAGCTTAAGGGCATTGGATGCTATTGCATGAAGATGTGTGATGGCATAGTCTCAGTTTTGGGGAAAAAATGACCTCATATCTTGCAAGACTATCCTATATCTTCAGAAGTGGAAATCTCATATGACAATGTCAACATAAGATGACATCTGTAAGAAACAAATTAAAAATTGCATAGTTTTAAGACCTGGAGGAACGTTGGCCATGGGGTCGCGATGGGTCGGACACGACTTCGCAATTAACAACAACAAAAAGCCGCCCAGAGCTTCCTGACAGGGCAGATAGGTGGCATAAACATTTAATAAATAAAAAATAAATAAACAATGTCAGCAGTCTTATGAGATTTGGGCCCTACATTTATTGCATTTTTGACAGCTATGAATAGATGCTATGAAAGAGCTCTGATGGTGCAGTGGTTAAAGTGCAGTATTGCAGGCAAACTCTGCCTACAGCCTGAAGTTCAATCCTGAACAAGCTCAAGGTTGACTCAGCCTTCCATCCTTCCGAGGTCGGTAAAATGAGGACCCAAGATTGTTCGGGGCAATATGCAGATAATTCTTCTACATTGTAAACTGCCCAGAGAGTGCTGTAAAACACTATGGCAGTGGTGCTGAACCTATGGCACGCGTGCCAGAGGCGGCACTCGGAGCCCTCTCTGTGGGCACATGTGCCGTTGCCCCAGCCTCGCCTCCCCCTGTGATCCCCTCCTCACCAGCAACCCCCCTGGAGGAGAGTTGCCCCCGAGCGTGGCCCACGCAGAGCAGCGCAGCCAAGGACATGGCAGCCAGGCAGAGTAGACAAGACTCTGCCCTCACACCCCATTGCGCACAGTTGATGCTGCGGGGCGCGGGCAGAGGGCATGGCCACCATGACGCTGCTGGGTTGCCTGGGCGATCTGTGGCGGGTCCTGGAGGCAGTGAGTGGCCCTGCGGGCAGGCGGGGCGGAGGACAGGGTGGGGGCGGGGCAGGGGGTGAAGCAGAGGCGGGGCCAGTTTTTGGGCACTCGGTCTCTAAAAGGTTCGCCATCACTGCACTATGGGTGGCATATAAGCCTAATTGCTATTGCTCTTGTTATGTCTAGCTGGATCACTAACGCTCAAGCGTGACACACCAATGTGTTGGTGATTCTTGCTTTGGCAATTTTTAAAAACAGTTAAATTACAGAATTTAGAAGGACGTACTGTTCCCATCTAAAGTATGAACAGCCATTATGCAGCCATCGATTTATTACTGCGTTTTCTCTCTCTCTCTGTGTCTCCCCCACACCAATCCACCTTCTGATTTTTCTTTGAACCATAGAGCGCTCGAGATGAACCTATTCATATCCTGAATGTCGCCATTAAGACTGATTGTGATATTGACGACGAAGGTCTCGCTGCCATGTTCAGGGAATTCACGCAGAGCAAGGTGCCGTTCTTCAGTTATCTGTTTTTCCTTCATCTGTTTAGCAAAATGGAATGCAGATTCTATCCATCATTGCTGCCGTCTTCCTACTTTTTTTTTCTTTCTTTTGGAGCTGTTCGCTTATCTTTAAAGACAAGTGTCAACTCCTTGGGACAACAGCCTCCTTTCCCCCCCCCCCTTCTGGTCACTGATAGCACTATAGAAAATAATAACATGGCTCAGCAGCTCTCTAGTCTGAGTTATTTGTAAATAATTGTAGAAGTCACTCAGCAGTATCACTTCACAACTGAAGAAGGGTGCCATCTGATTAGATCTTAAAAAGTAGTCTCATTTTTTAACTCTGCCAGGAGAAAAACCATCTTCATGCCAAGACTGACCTTACTTTTCAGGCCAAGGGGATGGGGCAAATTAGACCTTTTTTTGGAGATCCCATTCTTGGTCTGTTTAGACAAAATACAGGTAGTCCTCGACTTACGACCACAGTTGAGCCCCAAATTTCTGCTGCTAAACGAGACAGTGGTTAAATGAATTTTGCCCTATTTTACGATCTTTCTTGCCACCGTCGTTAAGTGAATCACTGCAGTTGTTAAATTAAAAGTATGATTATTAAATGAACCTGGCTTCCCCGTTGACTTGTGCTTGTCAGAAGGTAGCAGAAGGGGATCATATGACCCCAGGAGGCTGCAACCGCCATAGATACAAATCAGTTGCCAAGCGCCCAGATTTTGATGATGTGACCATGGGGATGCTGCAACAGCCATAAGTCTGAAAATGGTCATAAGTCACTTTTTTCAGTGCCATTGTAACTTCGAACGGTCACAGAATGAACTGTCGTAAGTCAAGGACGACCTATAATGATTGATACTTAATACAAATGAAGACCCTCCTTACAACTGGACTGGAACCAAAGGAAGCAGATTGAATGACCTACTTCATTTCTGAAAGGCATTACACAGCCTTGGTGAGAAGGAGTGGTGGCGCTGTGGTTAGAATGCAGCATTGCAGGCAAACTCTGCCCAATGCCAGCAGTTCGATCCTGACCGGCTCAAGGCTGACTCAGGTTTCCATCCTTCCGTGGTCGGTAAAACGAGGACCCAGATTATTGGGGGGCAAAATGCTGACTCTGTAATCCACTTAGAGCAGGGGTCCCCAACCCCTGGTCCGTGGACGGGTACCGGGCCGCGGCATGCCAGCAACCGGGCCACACAAACCAGCAAAGCCCCATCCGTGGGATGCAGGTAGCATACAAAACCACGCCCCCTCCGGTCCGCGGGAAAACCTCTCTCCACGTAACCGGTCCCTGGTGCCCAAAAGATTGGGGACCTCTGGCTTAGAAAGGGCTGTAAAGCAGTGTGAGGCAGTATATAAGTCTGCTATTGCTATTGCTATTTCTTGCAATTACTTTATTAAAAACATTAAAATGATGAAATTTGCACCCCTTTTCCCCTATTCTATTTTTGTTTCATTTTGTTTTAATACATTTTTTTAAAAGAAAAATAAATACTTAAGTTCATTTAAGGGGGAACCTTAAATCCCCCAGCTTGGAACAAAAAGCGATTCAATCAAACCAAGCCTTGCCTCGGGGATGCACAGATGAGGAATGGCTGTTTTCGATCTCTCTCGCTCCACCCTCAAGAATCCCTAGATTTCATTTCTTCCCATATAATGAACTGTTAAGCTAGGTTTTCTTTCATTTGCATGAACGGGCTTGTGGGGTGTGTATGTGTGTGTGTGTGTGTGTTTTAAGTGTGTCTGGAAGAGAGAAGGCGTTGTGCATTAAACTATCAAATAGCTTGATCCAAATTGCCCAANCAACCTGTGGGTCGGGACCCCATTTGGGGTCGATCGACCATTTCACGGGGGTCGCCAAGCAAGGCTGTCCGCCATTTTTTTTGTCCGCCATTTTTTCCCCTTTTCCGGCGGGTGCCTTACCTCCCTTGGGCTGGGCCAGCTGGTGGTCGGCCTGCTCCGTCTCTGCCGCTTGCCAGCTACGCCTCGGCCGGCGCAGGGGCCGGAACCACGCATGCGCGGCGCTCCCGGGCAGGGAAAGTCCTCGACTTACAACCAGTTGGGTAGTCCTCGACTTACGACCGGTTTAGTCCTCGACTTATGACCGGTTTAGTCCTCGACTTACGACCGGTTGGGGTCGCGGCATTAAAAAGGTTGAGAACCACTGAGCTAGATTTTCTTGGTTTTTCCTTGAAGACGTTTTGCTTCTCATCCGGTTCAAGAAGAACTGAAGAAGCGTCTTGGATGAGAAATGAAACGTCTTCAAGTAAAAAACGAAGAAAGTCCAGTTTTTGGAAAAGCACCTTTAGGTTGAGCTTTGAAGTTGTCTGCTTTGTCTGGGTAAGGGAAGGCACTGGCCTGTGCAGTTTGTCGTCATATAGTTCACTGTTTCCCAACCTTGGAGACTTTAAGATGTGTGGACTTCAACTCCCAGAATTCTCCAGTCAGCAATGCTGGCTGAGGACCTCTGGGAGTTGAAGTCCTTCTGAAAGCCACCAAGATTGAGAAAGACTTGTAACGGCAAGCAATTTTGTCCCATCCTCTTCTCCCTTCCTACTTTATTACACCTTTTGATGTTGTGCTTTGCCTTCAGAAATATTGCAGGATATTGTGGGTCAAAGAAACCAGAAGAGGACGGGTGGGACAAGTTTGAGGCAATGAAATGGAACGCTGGGAATATCTTAAAATGTTGGATTGCTATTGGATGTTTTGATGATGGTTGGTCTTTTGCTTGTGTCCTGCTTCAGACTTTTTGATGAGATTATGGGATGCTTTTGCGACTCTCCACCTCCGAGTCCCACCTTTCCAGAATCGGGGCACCCGTCCCTGTATGATGAAGATAAGGTACAGTAGTCTATCCTGATTGGGTTTGACAGTAGAGGCAGCTTCTTGAGTTGAGTGGACGGGAATGAGTTAAAAGAGGTGTGGAGAAAAAGGTGTGTGCAAGCAGATGGATGCACTTCATTAAAGCAGCTGTATCTTTTCTGGGTTTGCGCAACATATTTGAGTACCAGTAGAAGGTAATACTTGTAGCTCAGGGTTGAAATGCGGGGTCTTTAATGCTCTCTGAGCTTGGTTGGGTGCTTTCTTGCAGATGTTTTATTACCCTTGCACTGATGATGTTATTTAGTTGGGTAATGAAATGCTGCAAGAAAACAACCAACCAAGCTCAGAGAGCATCAAGGACCCCACATTTCAACCCTGAGCTATAAATATTCTCTTCTGTTGGTAGCATACATGGGCATCCAATGCTTCAGAAAGCATGCAAATGAGAGAATTTTGCATGTAGGCAAATATCAACCTAGCACTGATGATGTTACTTAGTTAGGTAACGAAACGTCTGCAAGAAAACAACCAAGCTCAGAGACCACCAGAGACTCCAGATTTGCATACTTTTTTGCCTTTGAATCTGGAGGAACGCACTGCCCTAATCCATAGTATTCCTGGTTTCTGAGGATGGTAGAATCTTACGGGTTCCAGATCCATGAGAAACGAAATCCGAGTCGTCAAGACGTCATGCAAAATTACATGAGGCCTATTCTTAGCTTAAGGTAGTGATGGCGAACCTTTTAGAGACCGAGTGCCCAAACTGCAACCCAAAACCCACTTATTTATCGCTGGGTGCCAGGTGGGCGTGGCCCACTGGGTGGGCGTGGCTGTGGTGGTCACGGCAGATTGGGTGGGTGTGGCCAAGGTGGGCGTGATCACCTCGATGTTGCTCGTGGGGAGGGACGCCTGTGGGGGCCGGGCAGGGTTGGAGGAGATCCAGGTGGATCTGGCAGGTGGGGCAGTGGGCAGGAGGCTCGTCCTGCGGGGTGAGGCGAGGCAAGGTGAGGCAGGGCGGGGGTGCCATTGTCACAGGGCAAGGTGAGGCAGGGGCCGGGGCGGCGGTGGCTGCCTGACACCATCAGCCCCTGCACACAGAGGCCAGTGAGCGCATGGGTGCTGGGATGCATCCGGCCAAGTGAGACCTCGGTGAGTTAGCAGGCGGCTGGTTGAAGAGGGACGGTTGCCATCTCCGGGGCATGGCGTGCGTGCCACAGAGAGGGCTCTGAGTGCCACCGCTGGCACGTGTGCCATAGGTTCGCCACCACTGGCTTAAGGATTGGAAAACCTTTCAGGCATTGGAAGCTATCGCATGAAGATGTGTGATGGCATAGTCTCAGTTTTGGGAAAAAAAATGGCCCCATAACTTGCAAGACTATCCTATATCTTCAGAAGTGGAAATCTCATACAACAATGTCAATTTAAGGTGACATCTTCTGTAAGAAACAAATTTAAAAATTACGTAGTTTTAAGATTTAATTATTTAACTATTTGTCTTTTTGGAGCCTAGTAAGCCACCCAGAGCTTCCTGACAGGGCAGATAGGTGGCATAAACATTTAATAAATAAAATAAATAAATAAACAATGTCAGCAATCTTATGAGATTTGGGCCCTACATTTATTGCATTTTTGACAGCTATGAATAGATGCTATGAAAGAGCTCTGATGGTGCAGTGGTTAAAGTGCAGTATTGCAGGCAAACTCTGCCTACAGCCTGAAGTTCAATCCTGAACAAGCTCAAGGTTGACTCAGCCTTCCATCCTTCCGAGGTCGGTAAAATGAGGACCCAAGATTGTTCGGGGCAATATGCAGATAATTCTTCTACATTGTAAACTGCCCAGAGAGTGCTGTAAAGTACTAAGGCAGTGGTGGCGAACCTATGGCACGCGTGCCAGAGGCGGCACTCGGAGTCCTCTCTGTGGGCACACGTGCCGTTGCCCCAGCCTTGCCTCCCCCTGCGATCCCCTCCTCACTTGCAGCCCCCTTGGAGGAGAGTCGCCCCCGAGCGTGGCCCACGTGGAGCAGCGCAGCCAAGAACATGGCAGCCAGGCAGCGTAGACAAGACTCTGCCAGGCAGCGTAGACAAGACTCTGCGGGGCGCGGGCAGAGGGCGTGGCCGCCATGGCGCTGCTGGGTTGCCTGGGTGATCTGTGGCGGGTCCTGGAGGCAGTGAGTGGCCCTGCGGGCAGGCGGGATGGGTGGGGGCGGGGCAGGGGGTGAAGCAGAGGTGGGGCCAGTTTTTGGGCACTCGGTCTCTAAAAGGTTCGCCATCACTGCACTATGGGTGGCATATAAGCCTAATTGCTATTGCTCTTGTTATGTCTAGCTGGATCACTAACGCTCAAGCGTGACACACCAATGTGTTGGTGATTCTTGCTTTGGCAATTTTTAAAAACAGTTAAATTACAGAATTTAGAAGGACGTACTGTTCCCATCTAAAGTATGAACAGCCATACTTCCAGAATTCTGAAGGGTACAATAGGGTCTCCATTCCACCTGCAAACATTATGCAGCCATCGATTTATTACTGCGTTTTCTCTCTCTCTCTCTCTCTCTCTCTGTCTCCCCCACACCAATCCACCTTCTGATTTTTCTTTGAACCATAGAGCGCTCGAGATGAACCTATTCATATCCTGAATGTCGCCATTAAGACTGATTGTGATATTGACGACGAAGGTCTCGCTGCCATGTTCAGGGAATTCACGCAGAGCAAGGTGCCGTTCTTCAGTTATCTGTTTTTCCTTCATCTGTTTAGCAAAATGGAATGCAGATTCTATCCATCATTGCTGCCGTCTTCCTACTTTTTTTCTTTTCTTTTGGAGCTGTTCACTTATCTTTAAAGACAAGTGTCAACTCCTTGGGACAACAGCCTCCTTCCCCCCCCCTTCTGGTCACTGATAGCACTATAGAAAATAATAACATGGCTCAGCAGCTCTCTAGTCTGAGTTATTTGTAAATAATTGTAGAAGTCACTCAGCAGTATCACTTCACAACTGAAGAAGGGTGCCATCTGATTAGATCTTAAAAAGTAGAGCCTCTCTTCTCATTTTTTAACTCTGCCAGGAGAAAAACCATCTTCATGCCAAGACTGACCTTACTTTTCAGGCCAAGGGGACGGGGCAAATTAGACCTTTTTTGGAGATCCCATTCTTGGTCTGTTTAGACAAAATACAGGTAGTCCTCGACTTACGACCACAATTGAGCCCCAAATTTCTGCTGCTAAACGAGACAGTGGTTAAATGAATTTTGCCCTATTTTACGATCTTTCTTGCCATCGTTGTTAAATGAATCACTGCAGTTGTTAAGTTAAAAATATGATTATTAAATGAACCTGGCTTCCCCATTGACTTGTGCTTGTCAGAAGGTAGCAGAAGGGGATCACGTGATCCCGGGGCGCTGCAACTGTCATGGATACAAATCAGTTGCCAAATTTTGATGATGTGACCATGGGGATGCTGCAACAGCCATAAGTCTGAAAATGGTCCTAAGTCACTTTTTTCAGTGCCGTTGTAACTTCGAATGGTCACAGAATGAACTGTCGTAAGTCAAGGACGACCTATAAACGATTGATACTTAATACAAATGAAGATCCTCCTTCTTACAACTGGACTGGAACCAAAGGAAGCAGATTGAATGACCTACTTCATTTCTGAAAGGCATTACACAGCCTTTGTGAGAAGCAGTGGTGGCGCTGTGGTTAGAATGTAGCATTGCAGGCAAACTCTGCCCAATGCCAGCAGCTCAATCCTGACCAGCTCAAGGCTGACTCAGCTTTCCATCCTTCCGTGGTCGGTAAAATGAGGACCCAGATTATTGGGGAGCAAAATGCTGACTCTGTAAACCACTTAGAGCAGGGGTCTCCAACCCCTGGTCCGTGGACCGGTATCGGGCCGCAGCATGCCAGCAACCGGGCCACACAAACCAGCAAAGCCCCATCCGTGGGATGCAGGCAGCATACAAAACCACGCGCCCTCCGGTCCGCAGAAAAACCGCTCTCCATATAACCAGTCCCTGATGCCCAAAAGGTTGGGGACCTCTGGCTTAGACAGGGCTGTAAAGCACTGTGAGGCAGTATATAAGTCTGCTATTGCTATTGCTATTTCTTGCAATTACTTTATTAAAAACATTAAAATGATGAAATTTGCACCCCTTTTCCCCTATTCTATTTTTGTTTCATTTTGTTTTAATACATTTTTTTAAAAGAAAAATAAATACTTAAGTTCATTTAAGGGGGAACCTTAAATCCCCCAGCTTGGAACAAAAAGCGATTCAATCAAACCAAGCCTTGCCTCGGGGATGCACAGATGAGGAATGGCTGTTTTGGATCTCTCTCGCTCCACCCTCAAGAATCCCTAGATTTCATTTCTTCCCATATAATGAACTGTTAAGCTAGGTTTTCTTTCATTTGCATGAACGGGCTTGTGGGGTGTGTATGTGTGTGTGTGTGTGTGTTTTAAGTGTGTCTGGAAGAGAGAAGGCGTTGTGCATTAAACTATCAAATAGCTTGATCCAAATTGCCCAA